TAATAATAATAGTTATGTCAGTAATAATAATAGTTATGTCAGTAATAATAATAATAATAGTTATGTCAGTAATAATAATAGTTATGTCAGTAATAATAATAATTATGCCCTACACACCTCTCCTGAGCTTCCTGAGGAGGACAGGCCCATGGCAGTGACATGTGAAAGCGTGTTTACGGGCACAGCTGGACTGCAGCTGCCCTCAGAAGTCATGGCCTCAGGTTTTGTGAATGACTTAGCAGGTGTTGTGTTGGTTACGTCCGTGAGCATCTGCTGGAGTCTGTGGTTTTCCTCTTTCAGCTGCTCCACCTCCTTCATCAAGGAGCTCTCAGACTGTCTCAACTGATGCCCCTCTGCTTTCATTTCTTTCACTTTGCCTCCCAGGAAGTGACTGCTCTCCTGGGCTTTCTGGAGCTGCTCCTGGAGACTCCTTCGCTCAGTCATCCCATCCTCCTCTCTCTCCAGTAGAACCTTGAGGTCCTCCTGCAGGCTAAGAATGAAGCTTTGCAGCCTGGCCTCATTCGAAGCCTGTTTTGTGTCATTGTTTCCTCCTCCATCTACATCTGTCTCCATCTTAATTTCTTCTCTCACATCTGGCTGCCATTGCTTCCTCCTCTCCTCATTTTTTTGCTCTTCTCCTTCACCCTCTCCTCTCAGGGAAGGTAGCCTGTCTTGTTCATCCATGTGTCTCACAGTCTCTGCAGTAATTCTGACAGCTCTGATTGTTGCCAATCCCGTGGCAGCACTGACAGTCATGTCAAGCAGCTGCTTTTCTAAAGTGTAGATACGATTCTGCAGACTCAGCTCTCTGTCTCGTGCCAAGCTGAGCTTCTGTTGAAGTTGGGATTTAAAGTTTTCAAAATACTGAGTTTGACGACTCATTTCCTCTTCTTTGGCCTTCAGATGCCTCTGGCAGCGCTGCAGCCGCTCTCTCCATAGTCGCTCTGTTAGTTCCTTTTCCTGAGTCTGAGAAGGAGAAGTGTTAGAAAAGAAATCAAATAAAGTTTATCTCAGAGTCATTACTTCAAATTTTGCCTTAACACGTTTTGACTAAGCTTAACAAGTTTGTTTTAGCACAAATCCATTTTTAAAGGATGTTCAGCTTGCTGTAAAAAAATAGAAAGCAATGTTTGTGAATAACTTAATCCTACATTTAACTTAAAGTACAACACCCCATTGATGAAGCTGAAAATGGAACCATTCATTGGAGATGTGCTTATTCTGAATTTGTTCCCTGCAACAGTTACAAAGAGCAAGTATTTTTATTTCATTAGGCACCAAATAACCAGTGACAGCAGAAACCCTGATACAATCACAAATGCTGGCTTTTCATTAGCTTTTTCTGCTTTCACAAGTGTCAATTCAGCTGTATTTCAAAACTGTATAATTTAATTTACACATAATGGCTGAAAAAAATATCAGGGATGAAAAATAAGGACAAGTGAAAGATTCTTAGTTGAATGTACAGTATTTCTTTTTTTTTTTAGGGATTTTGGTGGTATTGATGTATAGATATGGTGTAAACCATATAGCTGTTTTGTCCCGAGACTTAAGATAATCTAATCTATTTCTTAATGTTTGCTTTAAAAAATAATCAAAAAACATAAAAGACAAAACTGACATGCAAACAATAAAATAAAAAGAACATGTAAAGACAGTTTACCATCAACGTCTGAACTTGAGCACCACATAATAGTAATCCAAACAAAAGTTCATCCATCCATCCATTATCTTTACCCGCTTATTCCATTTTGGGTCACGGGGGTCGCCGGTGCCCATGTCCAGCAATCATTGTGCGAGGGGCGGGGTACACCCTGGACAGGTCGCAAGTCCATCACAGGGCCACATAGAGACAAACAACCATTCACTCTTTCACTCACACCTAGGGACAATTTAGAGTTACCAATCAGCCTAACATGCATGTTTTTGGTCTGTGGGAGGAAACCGGAGTACCTGGAGAAAACCCACGCATGCACGGAGAGAACATGCATACTCCAGCCAGAAAGGCCCCCGGACCGGGGTTTGAACCAAGGACCTGCTCGCTGAGAGGCAGCAGCTCTACCAGTTTCGCCACCGTGCTGCCTCAAACAAAAGTCATGTTAAAAAAAATATAGAAAACTAAATTTTGATGGTCACTAAACATAAGGAAATAAGTTCAACACTTGCATGCATCTTTAAAACTGTACAATATTTTAATACAATATTTAGGCTGCTTTGTTGATTGAAAAAATATTACTTTAAATAAAGTGTTGTTTTCAAAATGTGAAATCGCTTTATTTTTGAGAAAAGCTTTGGTAGCTGTTTCTGATTGTAAAGTCATTTCAGAGAAAGCTTGTTTTTCATGTTGCTGTCATTCTTACATATTCTCCAGAAACTGTTTATTTGTGTAGTTAGGGGTTAATTAATTCCTAAACTAACATTATAAAAACTGTGAATAGGGTTTAGTTTCTTTGAGCACTCACCATGTTTCTGACCTCCTCTCGGAGCATGTGGAGTCTCTGGTCCAGCCTCTGGGAATGTTGCATGCTGGGGAGCTGGGAGGAAGAGGCGAGCTGATGAACTTTTAGCAGCAGGATGATCCTCTTGGACCTCTTTATCTATTTGATCCCAAAACACCAGTAAAAAAACAAAATAAGCTCACATATCCTCATCTTCACTTTTACCAAACCTGAATATTAACATCAACTTTAATAACTTCCTCAGATCTAATGTGGTTCACTTCTCCTCCAGGCTGAGCGCTCACTAGCATGTGTGCAGTGAGGTCAGTTATGCATGTGATACAGGATATCACCTTGGTCAAAAGTGAGCATGAAGCAGCAGGTGTGCGCACGCGTGTGTGTTACTGGATCACCTCTCCCCTAGGCTCTCACCTGTTCCTCAGGTAGCTCTCAGGCTGGATGGCCAATCTGCTTTCTGCTTCAGGACCTTCCTTCCGTTACCCAGAACCTGCAAGTCCGTGTCAGTTCCTATAGAGTCTGTTACCACGGTAACTGAGCTGCTTCTGCTGTGTCTGCTCAGGTCATGTGATCCTCCGCCAATCAGACTCTTACCACTCAGAAAATTTGACTTGTAGCACAAGAGCTAATGAAAAGAAGTGAAAACAGAAAGTCTAAGAAAGTTTCGGTTTTCTGTGCAGGTTTTATCAAATCCTGCACTGGGTGAACAGACAGGAAAAAAAGTTGCATACAACTAAAATAAAGCCATATATTATTCAACATGTCAACAGCTTGGCAGCAAGTCATTGGGTGTTGGTATCTCTCAGGTTACTCCACCTTCTAACCATCCTCTTCATTCTTAAAACTGTTACACTCTACATGACATGGCCTTAAATCTTTGGTCAGACTACATGTTTTCAAGGTTAAAATCAAAATAATAGTGACTGTCACCCCCGTGCTAAAGGACTGTTAATGCAGCTGAGTGACTTATCAAAGACATTAAAACAATCGGTAATAAGAAAATTCAGCCAATAGTTAACTCTGTTGATATGAAAGTTGGTGGATGATAAGTTAAACTGCTATAATAAGAAAACTGTCAATTTACAGATTATATTTTATGTCACCTAAACACTGAAAAGCCACAAGACATTTAATTTAGCTGTTAGTGAAAATAGAAAACTCAAACTTCAATACCAACCTGGCTTTCTCTTTCCACTGTAATGGCTGGACTGACTGTAGTGTGACCCGGACTTTAGGAGGTTCAGTGGCTGATCTGTAAAGTTTGTTGCACTCGTTTCCTTAGAAACACCACAGATCCTGGACGATGCAAAAATCCTCCATGTCCATTTGGCACTCAGCCTGTTATTCCCCTCATTCAACCCTGTATGTTTTACTTTTGTCCTCTGTCCGTCTCTCCTTTTCCACTGAGCATTCCTCCAGCAAGCTGTGGGTTTTCCCCCATTCCGGTAAAATCCTCTAAGTTTTTTTTTTTCTCTCTTAATAAATCCTTAAGGTTTCTTCTCAAAAGAAGTGTTAAAGTGTTCAAAAACACTATAGTATTTTTTAACAAATAATTTTACTTTAATCTCATGTATATACAGTTGTTTAATAAATTACTAACATGTTTGCATTCCAAGGAAGGGTCTTCTGCAAAGTACACGTTTATCAAAAAGGCCATAAGTTTTTAGTAAATCATAATTTTCTAATCAAAATTAGTTTTATTGTCTTTGCTTGCCTCGGCATTTCAAAACCTTAAAAAAAGAAGAGAAAAACATGTTTATGGATTATATTTCTCATTTTTTGTGGCGTAATAATATAATTTAGGGGTGTACCTGATAAGAGTCGATGATCATGATAATTTCTTTAAGGCCAAAGAATAAATGCTAAAGAGAAAAATAAAAAGAGGAACAAAAACTAAAGAAACACAAGGTTCAAAGAGGGAAAACAGAAAGAAGATGTGTTTAAATGTTTTGAATGACACAACATACAGTAGAAACTACTTAAAATCTTTTCTACATTTACTTTTTAAGTTGTGAAAAACAATCAAATACAAATAGTTTGTACCTTTTCCTCTATATCCTTAATTTGTCTCTTTTGCAAGTCGATCCTGTCCTCCAGCTCTCTAATCCGCTGCAAAACAAATACAGAAGTAGTTAGTGAGTCAAAAAATAAAACATTTAGGTGAAACAGTCTTGGAACGTAATTTCAATAATGATTAAAAGAAGAAAAAAAAAAGAAATATTTATATATGTTATATATATATTTGGTCGTGTTTTGGTTTCAATACCTGATGAAATTTCACAGAAACAGTAAGTTCTGTCAAATTTCAGTTTGAATCATTAAAATTACAATTTACTTGAATGTAAAATACTGTGTGAGCCCCAGGGCTTTCTGGGTAATTTCAGGACAGAAATGGATAGACGTTTTCAGATTATGTGTTTAGATGGGTTGTCCCAGTTGGTTTTTCTGTTTAGTGTTGGGTTGGCATTTATGTTCAGGTTGTTGTTTGTGACTAAAAAAAGACACCATACGTCAGAAGTCATACTTGATGAAAAAAAAAGTAAAGGGAGAAGTACTTCCTGTCAACAAGTTACTGAAAACTGAAAGTAAAGCGATGTAATTGAACCTCGGCTCCATAGCGTTTTTGATGTAAGCATTTAATAGGATGTTACAACATTACATCTGAAGACCTAGCTCTTATTCATGGTTCACCACTGATTCAAAGTACATGCATCTGATAGGCCAAGATGGTATGGTAAGTGAAAGCAGACCTAATGATGTTTACTAATTCTTCTTTTTTACCTGACACATCAGAGTTAAAAGCTCCAGTTTGCAGAAAAAACTGTGACTTACTGTTGCTACACACATAAGAACAGGCTTGACTTATACTTAACAGAAGTCTGCGAATTCCTAAATCTTGACTTTCTATTCAAAGCAGGTTTGACAATAGTCAATAAATGAGGAATTAATCTTTCAAATGCTCTGAAGTGTGATGTTACAAAGTTAATAAGTCAGATTACAATGGACTTAAATGAAGTTTGAAATGTGGTTGTTAATGTAATCAATGAATAACGAGCACAAACAGTGTGTAAAAACTACAGATCAGACTGATTGAGTGGAGGGGGTCTAAAGGAGTTGGGGTATTACATTCACAACGAAACACACACTCACACATAGACAAAGTCAGTCTCTTGTCTTTTGCTCTTCCAGATACAGTTACAGGGAACACACACAGGGATACTGCATCTTTTTGATAGAACCAGAGTACTGGTGGGGTCTGAAGTTTCAAACGGATACCAAGGGTCAGACTGAGGACGGGCAGGACTCAACAACCTGACTGGGTTTGTTTTGAGCCTTACCTGCTGCGCCTGCTGTAGGAGCTCCATGCGCTCCTGTAAGATCTGACTGTCATACTGCCGGCTCTGCCGGAGAATCTGACGCCGCAGCTTGTCCACGGCTAGCCTCAGCTCCTCCCTCTGCCTGTCTGTCAGCGACTTGGCCACCGCACGGCATGCTGGTTGCTCCTGCTGCAGAGCGCTATACAGCGTGGCCTCCAGCTCCTCGATCCTCTGCACAGCCAGCCACATACACACAGGGACGCAAACATACACACAGGGACATGCACGTGCAGAAACACATACAGGCATGCACAAACAGGCACATTGGGGCACACACAGACAAGAACACAAATTAAACACAAACACACACACACACACATAGGACTGTGACCATGGTGGATATGGGGAACACTCTTCCACCTAATATTGGTGGCGATATAAGCTCGGCAAATTTTTAATCAAGCAAACACTTTTGTTCTCCACCAAGAAAATATCATAAAACATATTATGAACAATAAAATATCCACAGAAAACTTAAAATGCAGACTAACATCTAAATTGATATTTAAATGAGTAATTATGGATATGTCTTGTGTCTAGTTTTTGCTCTCTGGGTAAAATCTATGTACATAATCAGGAAAAATATGGTGTTCAACTGAACTAAAATAAAAATCAATAAACGTCTATTCAACACAGACTCTCTGTAATTTTTTGTTTCCTCCTTTTACAACAACCAGACTAACGTTTTCAAAATTCTTTGTCTCTCCACTAGTAACAGGCCTTTACCAAGACAAAATAGACCAATAATATAACTTCAGTTGTAAAAGATGCAGTATCCCAACGCAATGTGTCAAATTTTACTTTCATGGAAAATGAATGTTGTATTCATGATAATTAATGGTTTCCTAAATGTTTGTGTGTCATGCTGAAATGACAGTATTGCACTCCTGCTTCTTTAATAATTTATCACGAGGCGTTATGTTCATCACACAACCCTGGTCAAATTCTGTAAGAGTCTGTCCTATCTTTAAGATATGAAAATAAAAAGAATCAAATATAATCACACAGTTAACGCAAATAGTGAACTCCTACCATGTAAGCCTGATCCAAGGCCTGCTTCCTGTAATCCAACTCCTCCTCAAGGAATCCCTTCTGTTTACTGAACAACTCCTACAACAGGGTTTAATAGTGGTTGAGAACATAGAAATACAAAAACAAATAAGATTATAAAAAGCTGTGTGGATTTGAAACTTGACAAAAAACAATTTCCTGTTTGTGATATTACATGTTATTAATATAACCTGAGCTTTAATTCTGTGGGATTACGTTTATTAAGAAGGCATTTTTGAATCACCTTGTCATTTTCCAGGTCGATCATCTTCTGTGTGAGGGCCACCTCTGTGTTGTCTATTTGCTTCAACCACTGTACAAACAGACACAAACTGGATGAGTTTTACACTGTGTAAAATTAACTGGAGTCCAGTTGGTCAATAGGAGTCAAATGCAGAAGCAGCATATGACCAACATGTGGCAACAAATACAACAAAGTGACCAATGTCCCACTGACCTTTTCACAGAGTGAGATCACTGTCCCAGCCTGGATCACTGCAACCTGCTCCTCATTTCTGAGATTCTACAGGAAATATTTTATTATAAATTATCTGACTGAATATACTTGTATTTAAAATTAGAAGGAATATCAATACAACAGTGTTATCATACTAACCCCATTATCACCAAGAATATCCAGCTTCTTCATCAACTCAGGGATGATTACATCCTGTAAACAGGTGAAATCCAGGACATAAAACTGTATGCAAGTAAACTTTACAGTAAATATGGTGTTGTTGATGAAAGTTACCTTTACTCCCTCCTGGTGGCAGTAAATCTGCAGGGCACTGCTACTGTTCTCAGGAAATGCAGACATGTGGAAATTAAAAGCAGGAGATTTCCGTTCTCTTTCCTACAAGAAAGCACACCCTGTTAGTATTAAACATTTCTATTGTAGACCTACAGTAATGATTTATTACAACATTAATGGTGGTGAGCAGTGAGAGGAATAAAATAAATATTGAATTGAATGGCAGTATGGAGGGTGAAATGAGAGGGAATGAGGATTTACTTACATGGCACTGAAAACATTGGTCAGGATCTGCCAAAACGATGGAGGTGAAAACCCAAAGACTTTCAGGGAAAAAACAAACCGACAGGGATGCATGCTACAACTCAAAACTAAAAATGTCATTTTTCCAATATGGAGGCAAAACTGCAGCACAAAAGATATTTGACTGATATGATAATGCAATTATATGTAATTCATTTAGTATGCTAATAAAATTACAATTTTTATTCTGATATATGGTAGTCTTTAGTGTTCATTTAAAAAATATATATTTTACGTTATGAAAACTATAAATAAACAAGGCATGCATTAAAAAATGACAGACAAAATAAAGTTTGAAATGGATGGTGAACTGAAATATATTTTATTCCAATAAAAACTATATTCATCTTTACACATTTGTCCATTAAAAAAAAAAAAAAAAAACTTCAGTAAAGGGGTATGTACACAGCTGCCATGCAGAACAGGGAACCACAGATGCTACAACAAGGAACAGTGAGGAACTGTTTGGATGTAAAGGAACGTGCATGTGTGTGCACAGTGAATCATTGTATGTATGTTTTCCGCCTAGAGCTGAGATTGTTATTCTCGCCTCCTGGTGACAGTTTGATGGTGGTACAGTCTCTTACTTCCAGTTCTAGCACTCTGAATTCAAGCAGCTCATTTTGGTCCCGGGCGTCCTGAACCTCAGCCTGCAGCCGTGACTCTGCCTGCTGCAGCGCACAGATCTACAGAAGACAAAACCACCGAACTTTACAGTAACACACTGATGTTTTCTAAGTAGCAACAGATAAATAACACAACAGTGAAGACTTTAATTGAATATTTTTACAGATCACTGAGCAAAATCTTTAGTTTGGATTTTTTTTAAAAAGAGGTCTGTAAAAATTAACACAAAAAAAACTACCTTTTAATATATTGTAGCTGTTGTCGAAAGCATTTTCACTGTCCCCACCTTACAGAAATAATTCTGTCCAGATTGACGAGCTAACAGCTAGTCTGAGTCGGGTCAAAACCAAAATGGATTACTGCCATTTTAAAACAGGTTCAAGCTCAGAATGCTCTTATGTAACAGTTCATGCAAACATATTTTATAAACCTTTAGACTGTTGTCAACTTTTCACACAATGGTTGCTTACAAAACCTAATAGCAGCAGCAGCTAGCTGTAGCACTTCCAATGCAGCATCAGGCACTTACGGCAGAAACTATTGTATTTCTGCAGGAATAACAACAGGCAGACTGATTATTTTTACGTCTATTTTTTATTTATCCTGCACACATTCCAGAAGACTTTGGAGGTGTGTGTGCTTTTGTCTTTATTCAGGAATAACTGAGTTTGTTAAACTTGGTAGGGATTTCTAAATTTAGTGTTTGCATGAACCACTAAGAAACTCTGAGGCTGAGTCATTATAAACCATCAGAAATCCTCATTGATTATTGCCCTGCTCCCATTATATTGTCAGTCAAATTGAAATAAACTTTATTTCTTCAAATTGAGGTCGTTCCACTAGACATCTACAACAGATGTTAAAAGATTTCCTCAAAAATCCACTTCAAAAGTTCTGAACCATCACTTAAAGATGGTATTGATGAATACAGAACATTACACACTTATTTAAGACATAAAATGCTCAGGGGAAAAAAGCAAAATGAGAAAGGGATTTAATGAAAGGCAATTTGCATTTCCAAAAACTGGGAAACTAATGAAGTATTTAGAATTATTACTACACCTCTTTAAAACTAAAACAATCTTAAAATGAGAACACTCATATTGGTGTATGTTAGACTCTTATCTACCTTCTCGTGCAGCTCCTTGTTGGTCCTGATCAAGTATTGCTTCTCCTCCACCCACTTTGAATCCTGACATAACAACCAAACATAACATCAACAAAGAAATGACACTTTACAGCTAAGGGAAGTAAAGATCCCCCGTGTAATTAATAAAGATTTCAACACAAGCAGCGAAACCAAAGCCCACAGCTCAGCAAACATGTCAAATAACTTAAAATGACACATGCAAACTTAACGCAGACACAAAAAGACAGAAGCAGAGAGTATCAGTAACCAAAGTTTATTGATCCAGACAACAAAATCCCACTCCAGAGGGGAAAGGAAAAAAAATCACAAAACAGCTGCATTCAAAGGCAAGAGTTCACAAAGAAAAGAGGAACAAAAGGCAATTTGAGATGAACAAAAACAGCAGAGAAGCAATTCAGAACACCTGAGCTGAACGAAGCCACAGTGAAACATGCAACATGCAGTGAAACAGGAAAGTTAAGACCAAATTTAGCAATATATTTTTTATATTTGTTTATTTTCTCAAACTGTTCATGTATTTAAACAGAAAAGCCAAGACCTTCCTCTTTTCATGACTTTTACACAAATCACAATCAAAATAAATGTGCACTTTAATACATCTTGGACAAACTGGATAAAAACAAACATCTTATTTTAACATTTATCAGGTCTCTCTTGTAAATGAGTCCAAGGCTCAATGGGATTAACCTGTATAAATAAAGGTTGAATGAAACAACATAATTTAAGGCCTTGCTTTGTGATTGCACCTGAAAAGAAAGGCCACGACAACAGTACAGAAGGTGAAGCAGAGCATGCAACCACAGAACTGAGGTCACACATGCAGGAAGAGTTGTTGCAGGATTCTGTGGTACACCTGATCAGCATAGGGCCATCCAAAAAGCAGAGCAGCCAGACAGACATGCAGAAGGGCCAAAAAGAGCAGGACCAGTGAGCTTCTGTCCCCGTCCCCTGCCTTTACTACCTGTCCCCTCTCTGCCAGGGCTTTCTCCAGGTCGACAATCTTTGCCTGGCAGCTGCCGAGCTCCATCTGTAGCTGCTCACGATTCTGTAGGAGGAACCGTCAACCATCACAGATTTGAGTGCAAACAGATTTAGTACACATTTTTTAAATTATAAAATTATATGAATGTCCTTCAACAGAATAAGTACTGTTTTATAGAAAGGAGGCAGATACATACCCTGGCCTCCCTCTCAGCATCCAGGGAGCCCCCATTCTGCTCCTGCAAAAGTGCGTATGCCCGCTGAAGAGCCTGATACTCTCTGGTGAGCTGACGAAAACGAAGCTCCGACTCTTCACGGGAAATCGTCTGTAATGAAACAAAAATGGGATTTATTAAATTTATTTGTTAACTTTTTCACGTTTAGCTGTGCATATTTCAGATGTTAAACTTTCACAAATTGTTTTTTTTTTTAATGTAGACAAAGAACTACCTCTTCCAAATCCTCCTCAGGAGTGGCAGGAGTGCGGTCGGTAAGGTCAGTGTTATACGAGGTCAGAGACGAGGTTTCTGAGTCTATCGACTCCTCATCAAATCCAAAATATGTCTCCACAACATGCCTCTGCAGAGGAAAAATAACAAGATGGCACAGACATATAAACCAGCATCTTTAAATCAAAACATATGTTGTAAATTATAAAGATTTTGTCAAAAACATTGCCAAAAGCAGGCAATGTCATCTTATAATTTATCAAATTTTATATAAACCAGATCAAGTCGCTGCATCTTTGTCTACTTGATACTTATCATTTGCTTTTCCCACAACATCCTCACCGTCATGTTTATAAGTCATCTCCTGGCAACCAGAAAAATAAAGGCAGACCAGGGCACACAAACAAATGAAGGCGGAAAAATAGAGGACAAGAAGGATGTATTCTGTCATGATCTATAAAAAACACTAAACTACAAAATATCCTTACAACTATTTCTTGCACCAAAGCAGTTAATCCGCAGAGTATAATCCAGGGCTTCAGTAATTTCAAAAAGAACAATTTTTTTTCTTTTGCACTCGCACACAAAATGAAAAAGCAGAAACGTTTCAGGTTACAATCCAACAAAAAGTGAGTGAAATCACTGCAAGCAGCTCCAAAGCTCAAGTGGCTGCGGCTCCTCTGTTCCAACAGCACAAACTAAATGTATGTCATAAAACTACAAACCCCTCCTCCTAGCAACATCATGGACTCCAAAATGTCACCTGATAAAAAAGTTCAAACATGCCCTTAAATGCGCAGACGCATCACAGCATCTATTTTTCCCAATTTGTCTCGCTTAACACAAAAATATTAAGAGCTCTTCGGGACATGTTAATTGTGCAACAATAACAATAAATACACAAATAAATAAATAAAAAATGATGGAAGGAAAAAATCAACTAGCTATGGGAATCGTTCAAGTAAGAGAAGAGTATATCCTCATGCTGCCACCACTGTCCCTTGAGCCCAATTAATCACAAACACACACAAAGACTACCAACTGAGGAAATGCTCAAGGATCCATCAACCACAAATAGGACAGTTGCTTAGTTACATATTGTTGGATCATCAGTAGGTTTAAAACACAAAGGATGCTTACTTTTGTCAGCTTGGATGATTTTTTCCTGCTCTTCTTGTTCATCACAAATTTGTCACGTTCCTAAAGGCAAACACACACTAAATAAATACCTCACTTTATTTCTAGCAAATCAGACCTTTCTGTAAAGACATAAAATTCAAAATGATTTATTAAAAATGGACTTATCAGCAGGAAAAAAATACTGTAAACCTCAGTGTTCAGTGAAAAACTAACTTTAGATCACTCTTACAAATAATGCTCTGATTATTAAAAATAGTAGTTTGTGACAAGCTGAGCTTTAAAATAAGGATCAGTTCACATCACTAAGCCATTTTCTGATGGGTTGAAGACCATGTAAACTAAAACTGCATTAAATAAAACTTAAACGGACTTTTCTGAAGGTATTCAAGTTGTTGCTATCGAAAAGGAAAAGGGATGTGGAGATATAAACCGAAAACTAATACAGTTACAATGAATTGCATATGTGTGCAGGTAATTGTATGAAATTCATGTAAAACTAACACTTATGTTATTTGTGCACATTAACTAACAAATTCAGCCTGGAAATTTTGCCTGCTGGCCTTAGAGGTTTATAAGAAAACCATTATGACACTAAACTTTGTGTCATGCATAGCATTGCTCACAAAACACTATACACCAAGGAAGACATTACTATTAAAAATACAATACAGTAATAAATAAAAGGTAAGTTATTGATTTATTTACATGTGACCTTAATGTTTTGAATAAAATCCTGACCTGCGTGAGCTCGTCAATGATGCCTCGTTGCTCAGCAACCTGCAGCTTGAGGAACTGCATTTCCTGTTCCTCGTGGGCGTGACTAAGGTCAGTCAGGGAGCTTGTTCGCTTTAACTGAGGCTGAGTGGATTGTTGCTGTGACGGGGGCCTAGAGGAGGAAGCCTTTTCCTTCTGAAGAAGAGAAGCAGATGCCAAATTCTGTTTAGTGCTTACAACTACCAGTAGAGGTCCTGCTCTCTATGAAATAAAGAGCTCAGTGATGATCAAAACATAAATTTCCTCCTAAATCAAACGAAGAAATCTTGTGACTACAGTAGTTAAATTTTTATACATTAGTTTCAGTTAATAACCTGAATTAATTAAGAAGCAACGGTAAGGGTAAGTTCGACTTACCATTTCTGCATTCTCGCGACTCAGATTCTTGAGTTTCTCCTCCATACGCTGCAGTGTCTGCAGGAGGTCATCATTCTTCTTGGACAGGCGCTTATTCTTCTCAAACAGGGGCTTCATCTGGCTCTCTGCCTCTCGCACCCGCTTCAGCTGAACAGAGGAAGGAAACAGGGTGGGGAAACGTTGCAATCTTGACCTTTGTTTACGAAGAATTCCAGTTCAGTTCAGCAGCAGTAGTATCAGGGTTACACGTTTTAATACACATTTCATTGACAAATAAATGTGTTTTATGTACACATTTGTGCTAACAATAAGTGCACAAGTTGTGAAGCCAAAAACCACATGCACATCTGCATGCATGTTCCTCACTAGTTCGTTCCTCTCGTCCGCCAGCAGTGCATTTCTGTCCTCCAGTTTCCTAATGACGGAGTGAAGCTCTGCAATTTTCAGCTGGAACCTCCTCAGGTCACGTTCTTCCACCTCCTGTTGAGCAGGGGGCACAGGGTAGGAGGAGCAAGATAACAACTGAAAAAGGGAGAACATGCAGGCAGGCAGGTAATGGAGGTGGACAGGAAAGAGGAGGCAATGGGATGAAAGATGAGTTGCCATTTCAAAATGTGAATCTGTATGTGCAAGTAATCATATTTGGGTTTTCCTCTGTCAAAAAAATACTGCATGAAAAAGAACCAGAAATTTGTGTTACATACATTTTAAGGGGTAGGTTAGAAATCTATAAAAAGCTGTAACATAAATAATAGACTTATTTCCTAATATGCTGCTACAGCATTTCAGGAAATTACCCAAACTCACTGCAACAATCCTGTGCAGTTTTTTTATGTCTATGTTAAAGACTTTATCATCCTTTTAAAAAAATGTACTAAATGTACCTGGCAGTTTGTGACCTTCAATTGATTTATTATTCTTCACGTAATTGTAGTGAACTAGGCCTGATGTCAAAACCTTGACCTTAGGCACCTTATGGGACAGAAACTGTCATTTCATTGATTTGAATCCAGAAATACAGGTTGACCCATCCTGAGACTTTCTTTCTTGAATTAATCAAGTAAAAGAAGACTACTTTCGATTATCATTACTATTTTACAAATGTTTGATAATCAAATTGTGTTAGTTCAAACAATGTTTAAATGTTGAAGTGAACTACTCATTTTTAAATCAACTGTGAAACAGTAATAATGATTTTTAATCCTCATTCAAAGAAGAAATCAGGTTAATGATGCATTGTCTGATTTTCTGTCTTCAATGAGCAAGTGTGTAAGTTGGTCAAAGTTCAAGTTTCGGTCAACTGCAAGTTTACTGAAAAAGAAATGTCATGTTTAACTTTTACAGCAAGATACTAGAGAATTGACTCCACGAAGTCTGAAGTTCTTCATAATATCTTCTGTCTGTTCTTAAACAATCTTAATCTTTTTCCTTGACTTTTCATAACACCTTACATCACAAAACACACCTCTGATTTGGTCCATCGACCAATCAGAAACTCCCAAATGAACCGGAAATAGAGCTCTTTAAATGTTGGTACTTTCTAGTTCAACCCAGTGCAGTTCCAGAGTTCATGAAGGCTGGAATTCAGGATGCTGATGGAAGAAAAATCAAGCTGAACAAGAGAAGATCTGGGAATTATGAAATGTCTGTTCTGGATGATCTCACGACTCCCGAGGTTTAGCTGTTCTTACGGAGACGCTGAAAGAGTTGAAAGGAGAGCTCTACACCAACGCTGAAACTATCATCTGCAAAGGTAAAAGAGTCGATCTCAACCAAAGCGTACCGTTGGGTCAAGCTGGAAAAGAAGGAGCGTGCTGTTTCTGGTTATAACAGACAAATTCCCTCCCCATCTCTCTCATACTTAAACTTCATTTCCCATCTTTAAAATTCTTCTATCTGCTAAAAATCATTACAGATATTTTTAGAAATGTCTGAAGCAAAGTTTTTCAACCACCGCCGTGTGGTCAATGTCGTACTGCTGGAAGTGAGAAAACAATCGCCGTATTGTTTACTTCCTTGTAAACCTGCTAAATAAGATGTCGTTATTTTCAATTTTTGCCAATTAATGTAAATGTGTGATGTGCTAAACTTGATTCTGTTCATAAATGACCCACTGTCGTTGATGAGTCAAAGATAATTAACGTCTCACGTCACATTTTTAATTATTCAATGCACGTACATTATGCAGTCCAGAAAAATGAAAGAATCCGTTTAATTTATGAATATATATCAGTATATGTTCATACTACATAATGTAAAAAATCCTTTCAGTCTAAAATAAATTTATATTCAAAACACTAAAACAATAGAAACATGATTTAGAAAATCAGCTACTTTCAAGTCTGTAATGCTTTATGAACAAAGACGTGTTTTAGAACTTGTATAGCTGAGTATGAATGCATTCATGTACACGTGGATGTGTTATCATGTGTACACGTGTGGCTTCCTCTGTGTGTGTTTATACCTGGTTATTAAGCAGGTCTGGATTTTCTCCTAGCCCAGGGACCACCTCTCGCTTGGGGCTGCCGTGGTTGTATCTTTCAGCCTCTCGTACCTGACCCAGCTGTTCATCCAGGGCTTCTTTTTGAAGCTGAAGCTTCTGGGTGTAGCCAGCCTGCAACCCCAGCTCTCTCTCCAGAGCACACACCACCCGGTCCTTTGCCTTCAACTCATCCATCTACAGGAGGGGTGGATGGAGAGAGGTTATGCTGAGTTAGTGACTCAAATATGCAGCTTTCAAAAGATTAAATTAATATTCTTCTATTCCAATATTCTTCAGGTATTTTTAGATTTAAGTTGCATAAAACAGACTAAATAACGCAACAAGGTTCTAAAATCTAGATTTTAAACATTCTTCTTAAGGTGTGATTAATTTTAGAAGCTTAATTCTTCCCCTCACTTCACACAATTGTGTGGCATTATTACCACTTCTACTTCCCTCAGTTATTCTTTAACACCAGTACTTCCTGTGCCGCCTTCTTTTCATCTGTCAACGATTTTTTTTTTGCATTCCTTCACTTGGAGCTGTTATTACAGCCCTGCTGTATGAAAAGAGGTTTATGACTAACTGAAGCAGATATATGGAAGTTTAATCTTGGAGAAAAGCACATGGTGAAGATAAAAAAAAGAACAGTTAGCCTCTAAACTTTATACATTAGTAAGATAAGCTCTGAGCTGGAACTGAACTGCAGCAGAAGGAAAACAGATGATGGTGTGAGGAGACTATGGACAATATTCAACTGTAGTCAGGACAGGCCACCACCGCTGTATCATTGTAAAGTTTGCAGATGATACAGCGGTGGTGGGATGCATCACAAACAATGATGAGTCCAGCTACAGGCAAGAGGTGGAACACCTGGAGAGCTGGTGCAAAGAGAATAACCTTCACATCAATGTGAAGAAGACAAAGGAGATGATTGTGGACTTCAGAAGGAACAAAAACATCTACACCCCCCTGAACATAAGAGGATCCGCGGTGGAAGTGGTCTCCAGTTAGAATTACTTGGGTGTACACATGAATGACAACCTCAGCTGGAGCAACAACACCACCAGCCTGATCAAGAAAGCTCATCAGAGACTCTACTTCCTCAGACGGCTGAGGCGAGCTGGTCTGGGAAGCTCAGTCCTCACCTCCTTCTACAGGTGTGCAGTGGAGAGCATCCTGTGCTCCAGCATCAACGTGTGGCATGGAGGCTGCACAGCTGCAGAAAGAAAAGCTTTGCAGAGAGTGGTGAAGGCTGCACAGAAATCTGTCGGAATCAGCCTCCCCACCATCACAGACATCTGCACCTCCAGATGCAGGAAGAGGGCCACCTGCATCATGAAGGACCTCACTCACCCAGCACACACACTTTTTGCCCCACTCCCCTCAGGAAGGAGGTTAAGGAGCATTAAGTGTAGAACCACTAGACTGAGGAACAGCTTCTACCCTGTGGCTGTTAGACTCATGAATCTCTAACTAGAATAATCACTGTGAAAAACCATATCATGTTGCTGCTGATCTGTTTCATGTTGCTGCTGATCTGTTTCAATGTTGATGTGTTCATGCGTGCACATCTGCTCACAGACTCATGTTCATGTTTGTGCTGATGTTCAATGTTTTATGTTATGAGTGCTTAGTGTATATTTATTTGATGTTTTTCTTAGTTCATATCTTAGATGTTATTACTGTTTTTCTTGTACATTTTATTGTTGGATGTAACTGGGACCTTGTGTACATAATTTCGCTCCACCACATGTACCACATGACAATGACAATAAAGAATCTCTGACTCTGACAGGTACGGACTATAAAAATATCAGCTGCTGCATTTAACAGGCAATTCCTCAGCAGAAATCATGATATTTGTTCCTACAGCAATATAGAAAGTTTCTTTTGGCTGCTCCATTCTTCAGGGGTCACCACAGCGAGCAAACTCGCATGAAAGATTTGACCATTTGTTTCATGCCAGATGTCCTTCCTGACACAACCTGGGCTCGAACCCGCAACCTCAGGATTGCAAGAAGACCATGGCACTGACCACCAAGCTACCGCAGCCCCCTCCTACAGTAGTATACAAATTCTTATTTGAAAGCACCTGTTCATACAGTAAATTGTACACAGTACTGTGAAAAGTTGAAATATGTTAATATGTAATCTACTGATTATTAATTAAGTGATGTTTTAAACTTTTTGTTAAAGGAGCCAGAATTTCTTGTAATCCATTAAAAGGGGTGTTAATCAACAATTCTCCAAACTTTCTGAGGGGCTTTCAAAGTTTTTATTTCTGTCCAGGTGGCCATGAAAACATATGTGATGAAAACTGAAAAAAGTTGGAAGACAAAAGAACAAATATGAACAATAACTGAAAATTATGTATTTAGGACACAGGAAATTTTTCAGCAAAGACTTCAGAAATGCAGCACCCTGAGGTAATCTTCTATTGTAAGTTTTTAGCTACTAGCTCTTTGGGAATCACTTTTGGTTTTAAAATACTATTCTATATCCATCAAACTGTGGTAATGTTCTTTTTTATATATATAATTTTATCTAAGGAAAACAAATTGTGTTTTTGTGACAGGAAGCTGAGAAAAGTGCCTAAAGATCTAATTTAAAACTGGTTCTATGTTAAGTTGTCTGTCGTCAGGTTTCTCTTGTAAATGAGTCCTCGAGGCTAATTGGGAACTAACATGTATAAATAAAGGTTGAATGAAATTTATTCAAGTCAAATGTGTGAAATATGCATATTATATAAATGAATATATGTATGACACGAAACTGGTTCATCCCTTAGGTTTAGGAACCTTTTTATACTCAAATGATTAACAAAAAACCTAAACATTGCTCTGAAAATGGTCAGGTACTGCACAAAAAATGTAAAAAAAAAGCTCCCATTAACTTTAAAAGATTAAAAGAAAGTTTTGTAAATTAAATATTTAAAATATCAATGCTGGCCAAAGACATTATCACAAGAATGAACTTCAAATGCCTTTTATTCTGGGTTTTTTTTTTATGTCTGAACATTATAAACTTTGATTAAAATATTTTTCCAACACAGCGAAAATACATTTAAACTGAATTTTTTTATTTTTGTGTGTTTACATTTATATACAAAATAAAAATACTTAATTATGACACAGGAAAATGCTTGTAGCTAGAAAATTATAGCTAGTATGTGCATCAACCTAATATCATGAAATGACAACAGTCATTTGTTAACTATTGTCTGATCATTTAAACAGATAAAACACTTTGTTCATGGACTTCATCTTAGTTTAATGTGGTCTTACCAGTCGACGGATGTCTTTCTCACAGTCTCGCTTAATGCGATGCACCTCATCTTGGTGCTGTTGATAAGCTGTGCGGAGATCAACAGCTTTGGCTTTATCAGCTTGAAGAGCAGTTGCTAACGCTTCCTCAGCTTGTTTCCTGGCCAGTTTCTGCTCCTGAATCTAAAGAACCATCCCCAACCCCCATACACACAATAAAAACATTAATTCACTGCAAAAATTAACACATGAAAGCAATAAAGATTCAAATATTTGTTTACACTTGTAACTCCATTAAACTGTTATGTCGGTGCCCTGCTCGTCTGGGGAAGTTACAGAGAAACAATGGCCTGGCAACAAACTTTTCAAACTTGTTTCCTGTTTTTCTGTGGTAAATTTACAAAAGGTGTGCAAAGTATTACAATCATGTGGACGCACACACTCATGTATACTCACAAATTTTCCCAAAAAACATGCTTTTATCAGCACAATGTTTAAAGAAAAAGTCCTCAAAGTTTGTTGAAATGTCTGTGAGCTCACACTATGCAAAAACTAATTATATTTTGTATAGCTATTACAGTACATGCAGTATGGTCCCACTCAGGAGCTTTCACCCACATACTGTACGTGATTAAACCTACCTCCTGCTGTAGCTTTAGTCTCTCCCCATCAAAAGCTCTCCTGGCCTCCTCTCGAGCCTCTGCGAGAAGAGCATTTTTGAGCTTGTCAGCTGCTCCATCCCTCAGTGCGTTTACAAGACCCTGGAGCCTCTGCACCTCTGTATCCCGGATCTTTATCACCCGAGCCAACTCGGTTTCGTGCTGCCGCGCCAGGGCCTCACGGGCAGCAGCTATATCACGTAGTTTTTCTTCATGGAGTTTGGCGCGCAGGTCAGTGAGCGCCACGGCATGCTTGTGCTGCTCAAGCTCCCGAGCTTGTCGCTGTTCCTGCAGACGCTCACGGAGCTTACAGACCTGCAGGAAGAACGTGACGAAGAAAAATATGATGTTAAGACATCAAGACACAGTATGCATCTTTGCTGAAAGTATGCATGTTTGAAAGTTTGTGCCTCATCATAAAACAGAAAAAAGCATACTTTCATTACTTCTACTGTCAATGTCCAAAAACAAAGACAAGAGATAGACTGAGTGTCAGAAGGAGGATTCAAGTACAGACAAATGGTCCTGCTTCCTGGGAATGATCCTACAAGTGAAAGACACCTTTCCTTTGAACTTTGTCCTATTCTATTTAGCAGAGGCATTCAGAAGCTGTTGCAAAGCATTTCTGCACAACTCTGCTGAGTTCAAAGTCAGGACTTTCAGGTTTCCTAAGCCCTCAGTATTACCATACTGCAGAGTAACATACTTTATTACAGTGAGTTTAAAAAATCAGAAGGAAGATAATAAGATTAAATTTATACTAATGACAGTTAAAGTTAAGTTAAGGTCAAATCGGGTCAGGTTTGGTTGGCTGATTAGAAGATAATTGTATAGGTTAGGTGCAGAAAAATAATCAGCTCATCACCAGTTGACATTACACTACAGATCCTTGCTTGCTGAAATGTATACTTTTATGTTCTTCAATTCAATTCAATTCAAAAATACTTTATTAATTCCAGAGGGAAATGAAATGTTGTTGTAGCTCATTCTCCTGGTTTCTTTAAAGATATGTTCTGGTGATGGCTGTGGGCAGGAAGGATCGCTTGTAGTGGTCCATCTTATAGCAGATCTGAAGAAACTGGCCACAGATGTTGAGCCGTTTACTTGGACTTGGCAGGCCTCTCGGTACTCCTGGGCAGCAGGACCACATGACTGTTGGGCAGAACTCCTCCCAGAGCGATGGTCACTCCTCTCAGCAGCTTGTTGAGCTCCTCATCATTGCAGACAGCCAACTGAAGGTGTCGGGGGATAATCCTGGTTTTCTTGTTGTCACAAGCCGTGTTTCCCACCAGCTACAGGATTTTGGCGGTCAGGTACTCGAGCACCACCACCATGAAGACGAAGATGCATCAACGGCCCCTCCTTTACAACGCATATGGGATTTGGGGCTGTAGTTGAGGTATTATCTGAGCTTTGAGATGTTAATCAGCTGCTCCCAGTTGTTAAAAAAAAAAAAACAATGTTGCCATGGTTACGCATCATAGCAAGTGTCCAAAAGTAAAAAAGTTTCAGTAAAATCCTTCCAGCTACACAGCATCTGATATCAGAGGAAATTATCATCCCAAAAAAGTGATTTATATCCAGAAAAACAGGAATTAAAGTTTTCAAATGCAATATCTCAGAATGAAAGTAACAAAACTACTCCAACATGCAGACACCTTGAGCAGCGTAATTCTACAATATTTGTCTCTTGTAAAGGAGTCCTCATAGCTCAATGAGACTAGCCTGTATAAATAAAGGAATAATTGGATGAATAAATGAATTGAATTAATTTTACCATGGCCAAAGATTTCTGGAACCTGCTTTCATAAAGATTTGTTGTTGTTGTTTATTTCTGCACCCATCTGCCTTTTGACAAATCCCTGCTTGCAATTACTGGTATGTGCCTTTTCAGTAAGCAAGAGCTTCTGTCTGAGCGTTATATGATGAAAGCCTGATTGGACTGCAATGTTGGCAGGTTTTATTTTTACTACACAATCCTGACTCATAGTTCAGCAGACAATATGAACCTGTAAATGTTAAGAAGGAGAAACCTATCAGTTACTGAAAAAAAATCCCTATCTCAATACCATTATCATGACATTTTTGTCTTAATTGCATTCTAACAGATGATTATGATTCTGGTACCAAGGTTTTTAGTTTCATACACAACCCTTCCTTTTCTTCCTCTGTCTCACCTTGCCTCGCTCCTGCTGCAGCTCGATCTGAACGTCCATGAGTTTGTTCCTGAGTTCTTCGTTGGTGGACTGTGGTGAATCAGCCATCACCTCTGATTTCTCCGACTTCCTTCCCTTTTTAGGGGGTTGGGCCGATGGGGGTGTGGTTGATGACATAGTCCTCTAGCCGTCCTCTCAGGACGGTCATTGAGTGCAGGATGTGGCAAACGGAGGAGAGCGTCAATCACTGCTCCTCCTCCTTGCAATGCCCTGCATCATCATCATCATCATGTTTTCACCACCATCTACATCGTTGCTAGAGGATGCTGGACTTTCTTTTTGACAGACAGACAAGCAAAGAAAAAAATGGGAAAAGTGTGAGACATTGATTAAAACTGGGTTATTTTAAAATAAATAAATAAATAATAACTATCTTGTAAAACACACAACAGGAGGGTCCAGTTCACATGACACACCACAGCCAAGCAAAGCAGACTATTTTGAGAACGTTTGCACTCTCCTCTGTCACCCTTTTCTCTTTCAACACACAAGAGCAATTTATCATCATCCAGTTTCACTCCGTGGATTGCACTGAGAAGCTTCACAGTGCATGAAAATGCATTTGGCCACAAAGATTTCATTTAGTTGTCAGTAGAATATATTTTGACCTACCTACTTCCCTTCCTTCCTTCCACCTTCCTTTCTGTTATTCTGTCTTTAGGCAAATAAATCCATCACTTAAAAATGCTTCAGTATTGCTCTATTAGTATTTAAAATTCAGATGCATCACTCATTTATAACTTAACTGGAAATTCATTGAACACAAGCATCCAGCAGTGTGACCTTGGATTAAATTAAAAGTTTAAACCAACCTGCACACAATGAACATTGTGCATTGTGTGCAGCACAAGATATTGCTTAAGCAGTTACACTGCAAAGCACACAGGCATGCAATGTCAAAATAAAGCAAATTACTCAAACTTACTTCACTTGTTTACGGTTTGATTTAAAACAAAAGAAAATTGACCATTTCCATTTCCAGCAATCTCCAACTTGCCCATGTTAAGTGTATTAAAAGCAATTATCTTGTAATAAAATTCAATTAATTTTTTTTTTGTCTTGAAACTCTTAGAAGTATTTTTAAATGCCTTTTATATTCTTTGTTCCTGTTGTTTTCATCCATATTTAATACATTCATCCTAAACATGCTGTACCCAGTACAGTAAGTATTGTCAAATAGATCTATGAAAGATATTTATTTGACAATTTTATTTCTGATTACTATCATAATAGTTAATGCAAAAGAATAAAAAAATATACACGAATTATGTACAAACTTGTCTTACAAAAGATTGATAAACGGAACAATCCTCCCACTCCATCCATCAGCAAACTACACTTCAGGATTTGATTTCAGTAATGCCATTTTAAACTAAAACAGACATTATTACAGCTAACAACTACTTTTCGTCTGCTATTAAAGAAGTACAAAATCAACTCAATTTGAATTTCTAAAAATAAAAATATATTTTTGTTATAAAGAAATCAACTATTAAAATATTTGGCATTGGTTTGACTAAGATATAAAAAAGTAACACAAACCCATGGAAAAACAGGATATAAATAAATAATTTGTTATTCATTCCACTATATTGTTCCAGCTGAGGGCATTCATTTTTATTGCGCACTTTCTTCTACCTGTGTTGCTCCAACGATACAAAATCATTGAGCTGAAAATGGACTCCTCTTGGAGAAAATTGTAACCCAGTAACCTTCGAGTCTTTTGCTGAGCTATTAAATAAATAATGCTCTGACAAGGGAAACATTCAGACCTCAGACGCTTCCATCTTTGTCCACACATCCATCCAATGTACACAGATGGCAGAAATTGTTACCAAGGCAACCCTAGCTCTTAAATACTTTCATCCTCCAACTGCAAAGGATGATGGGGGAAAACAGAATCCTAACGGTGGATAAAACCATGCATAAATTGAACATAAAAAACAGGCATGCACAAATGATGTAATCTTGACCTCTTCTTTTAGCTGAGGTTGGCTAAGAGAGAAACATCGATGCTAGCATGCTAGGAAGCTTCTTCTAAATGAATTTGCACACAGCACTCAACGTGATAAGCAGAAAGGGTGGGAGAGAAACCGAATGAAGAGCAAAGATCCTATACGATAAGCAGGCAAGATAACAGAAAATAAACAAAAGGAGGAAAACAGAATGTCACAGACCTTTTCTAGCTTCAACCATCTCTCCTTCTTTTCTTACATTTCCTGAGCTTCCTCCATCTTTCCACACAGTCTCTCTCGCTCTTACACACTTTGTTGTTACTGATCTCACTCCCATTCAGAGACACAGCAAGACAGACCCAGAGAGAGAAATCATTCACACACAGAGAGCACTGTCACAAGCACTCATTTTCTGAGCCTTAAACTGAACAACTGGAAACAGACACAGCTGACACATATTCACATCTGGACCAAAAGACCTCATCGCTTATTCACATAAATAACAAATGTGCTCCTATTTACAGTGGGCCAGTGTTGAGTTGTGAAGTAAAAATTGTACGTCAATTTGAATGATGTATGTGCACCAAGCCTGCCATCATTTTCAGCATGTTTATGCTAGTCTGTGCCATTACACTGAAATGACTGAGGCATAACGGTTTGTTTCAGAGGTTATATACATGTATATGCCTGGCTGGCATCAGGGACTGGATGGCTTTAAACTTCTTAAGTTTCAATGAAAAGAAGTCTGAAGTCATGTTGTTCCCTCCCAACGACACGATCACAAACCACTGCATCGACCTCTCCGCTCTAACCCTGTCAGAAAAACAAAGAGTCACTAATCTGGGAGTGATAATAGACCCGTACCTGAAACTTAACAATCATATAAACATGATTGTTAAATCCTGTTTCTTCTAACTGAGGCGGCTGTCTAAACTGAAGCCCATATTGTCCAAAAATAACCTGGAGACAGTAATGCATGCATTCATTACATCTAGGCTTGATTACTGCAATTCACACCTGTTTGGTATCAGTCAAACCTCCATTGCACGACTACAACTGGTCCAGAATGCAGCAGCCCGATTTTTAACCAGTACAGGCAAAAGAGAGCACATTACACCAGTTTTGGCCTCACTGCACTGGTTACCGGTTCACCTTCGAATCCAGTTCAAAATACTCATGTATGTCTACAAATCACTGAACAGTGTCGCCCCCACCCCCCTCCCCCATCTCTCTGATCTGCTACAGCCGTATGTCCCACCACGTTCCCTGAGGTCAGCGGACCAGTTGCTCCTCACATTTCCAGGAACTCGTCTTAAGCGCAGAGGTGACAGGGCCTTCTCTGTAGCAGGACCAAGACTTTGGAACGAGTTACCTCTGCTTGTCAGACAGGCCCCCTCCCTCTCGGTTTTCAAGTCCTGTTTAAAAACCCACTACTATTCAGTAACTTTCAACACCAGATGATCTGTGTTTCGATCCTGTACGCTCCACACTGGTTAGTTGTCATTATCTGCATCGTTTTTATGTCTATATTCTGATTTACTTCATTTTGTATATTGCTTAGTGTGTTACCTGTTTTTCTGTCTGTACAGCACTTTGGTTGGCCTTGTCGCTGTTTTAAGTGCTCTATAAATAAAATGGTATGGTAAGGTATGTATATATGGATTAAGAAGACCGGATTAAACGTCTTTTCTTAAAGACTTGATGCATATCATATGTTCAACACTTCAATACCAATCAATTAATGTTTATCCATGACGGCACAAGTAAGAATAAAATAATAAACTGTTACCTTTCTTAAAACCAACATGTGAGAGCAGACTCAAAAACACACAACACCAACAGAAATCCTCATAGAGCCACATGGTCCCATGATGGCAAACAGGCACTAAAACTCAAAGTTTATAGCTCATTGAAAACCAGGAATGTTGTATAGGGGACTGGAACAGTTTATAGGGGCACTGTGATGCTAACAAGAACCTTTAATGTTCAAAGAAGTAAATGAAAGCCAGTGCAAGTCAAAGACCTGAAATTACCTCTTCTAGCTCTATAGACAGCTTACATTCTGCAAGCCTCAAAGTGGAAATAAACCTTTTAACAGACAAATGACAGCCCGCTTTTTACCAGTCCACTTACCAATCATAAATACCTGATAAAATTCCACATTCTTGACTGAATTAGACAATAGTCATGTTTTTTTAAGTCAGTCAAGTACTGTCTTGCAGTTGCATATACTGAATAAAAATTAACAAAAATGGCACTTCAAGTACCAGGTAAATGCAGTGAATGTACTTACAATCATCTGAAGCACTACATCTTGTTCACTTAATTAAAGCTGTAGTGAATAAGTGATAATAAATTATGCGGTAATGAAACATCTGCAACAGTATAAACTAACAGTGACTGTGAGGCAGCAAAAAAGTTACATAAAATATCTGCACTGATGTACATAAAAAGAAAAACTTGCAGCAGCCTGATGTTTTAACCTTAGCTGAATAATGATGAATAATGTAACAAACTTTCTTCAGAAAACAATTCTTATGTTCAAAACACACTTCTGGGACTTTATAGAGTTTAGTTGAAAGATGTGACTGTGAACGTGGGTTGTAAAACTATTTACCGGTAGTAACTGATCTGGAAAGTAGTCAGTTGGAACAGCTGGAGCCAGTTGATAATGTGATACTTAAAATCCTTGGAGAGGACAAAAAAAAACAAGTTTATCTGCCTCCTATTTGGCAGCCAACTGTTTGTTTTTTTTAAGTTTATAGTCTCATCGTGAGTCTATTTATTACAGATATATGTTCTTTGTCTTAACTCCCAACTTATTATTGTGTTTTATTTTTATTTTTTTTTAAGTGAAATTAATGTTGGATTGTTCCTGCAGCATATTTTCCTCTTAACCAGAACATAAAACCTGGAAAATTCAAAAGGTTATAAAATGGTGTAAAGCCAAGGAAGGTAGTGGGTTTTAATGTAAAACTGCACTCTTTCACAGTAACAGGTATCTGGTTCAGATCTGCAGGCCTTGCACATTATTAATACTATGGTATTATTATTGTAATAGCTAACTTCTGGCTTGGGACAGTTCAACGTGTTAAACATTATGTTTCTGCAACAGCCACAAGTTTATTGCACAAAAACAGATGGACTTCCTCAAAGCCAGACGTACCACACACGTCTACAGAGTGTCAAACTAAACATCACTGAAACGTACACAAAATTCCATTAAATTCACCGACAAATGTGAGCTCAAACAAAAACTCTGGTTAGTTTAAATAAACTTACTATGAGGGACAAACTGCTACACAGTATCTTATATACTGGACATTTGTTGTAGTGCTGGGCTAACATGCTTATGTCACACACAAACATGCCTTCACATTGAAGTCGCATCAGCATCAGCAGATTGTAGAGGTCTGGCAACCCTCCAAACATCCCTCTACAGTCCTCTCACACACACTTACTTTAAAAGGCTGAGCGACCCAGCCAAGAGCAACACCAGTGTTGACCTGAAAAACTACTACGACAGCTTAATGACTACAAGTAACTGACCCTGATGATTAGTCAACCCAAACAAATAGGCATAAAGTCCTTCTCTAGATTTAAGACTTGTTTACTTGTATTGTACTGCTTGTTTTCTTGCTCAGAATTTAAACACCTTAATAATGTGCACTTATACTCGTTCTTTCTGGAGGCACTTTGTGTTTTCAGCCTGAATAAAACCAATATCTGCATGTAAGTGTAAGGCTTTTGCACACATACGTGCATCTACATGTATGATAGCAATTGTGTCATTCCATCAGGAGGACATGTCACTGCAGTAATAACAAAGTTGTATCATGCACAGACTAAAGAGATGCTGTCTTGAGAGTCATACATACAACGGTAAAAAAAAATCAGTGGATTAGTCTCGTCTTTCAGAGTATGGATGGCAGAGATATGGAAGAAGGGATGGGATTATCAATGAGGAACAAGTCTTACAAAATTATGTTTAGAAGAACAGAAGTGGAAAAAGAGTAAGTAGGGTGGGGTTATAATTTAGTTTTCAATGTATCGTGAATGATTGTGAATTTATTTTGAAGCGCCAAAAATCAATTGTTACATATTAATAACTCTAAAGTCGTTTATGGCGTGCACACGACAAGATGAGAATGAGACGGTTAAACAAAACACACCAACCGCACACTATTCCAAAGTTAAAAGGGAAAATGGTGTTGACATGTGCCACCTGATGTGAAAGTTGTGTACGTGTTTCCACCCGGAGGAAAAAACAAAACAGCCAGTGGTATCTACTCGTTGCAGCTTCTAACAGAGTGAGCAACTCCAAAGTTTCCACTCAACATTACAAAGTTGACTGCAAAGGATTCAGTGGTTGAATGCCAGAATTTTATGTATGTCTAACACAGCCATCCCCACACTTTACAATGGGACGAAAGTTGTGAAAATGCTGCTCTACGTTGTGGGGCGCATGACATCCATTGGCCACACAATCTTATGCCACTGCACTTTTGTTCATTTAGTCCCCATCGTCTTGTTTGAATGCAAACCATTTTAGGCTGCAGAGTATAGCAAAATATTTGATGATATTTGCATGAGAATCTATGCACGGGATTCTCCATGAAGTGTAATTACGGAGGCTTAAAAATGCATCAGTACTTGCTTTAAAATTGCATCGCAGCCCTCTGAATCGTAAATGAAGGTGCATCTAAAGATTCCCACACCGAAAGGTGTAGTGACTGTCAAAAACTCTTGATTTTATTGCCAACGGAAGACGAATAGTTATAAAATGAAGTACAGTAAACAGTGACCACATCTTCGTGTGTGAAGAACAGATTTCTTCAGAAGCCCCACAAGATGTCATGCAGCCTCTGATCAAACAGGAGTGTGTCCACTGGGTCAGATTTACAGCCTCCAGAGCTGCCTGACATAACCTCTTCTGACAGACAGCAGGCAGAATAACAAAAAAAAAAGAATATGCTGGAAGATGTGATGGCTTAATGTGTTGTGGTGTGCCCCTCTAATGGGCTGTCAAAGAGGAGATTAAAGGGTGCTGCTGGAGGGAGGATGTTCGTCCTGTTTGCCAACCACACCCCGCGGCGACATGCGAGGGTCTGCTGACTGCTGCAGCATCCTCCAGCCCGGTGTCCTCCGTCTCCCCTGCCTCATGGTTTCACCGCAAACCACGGCCATAGACATTTTTACTAGCGGAAAAGCTGCACCGGGCCAAAGAAACCAGACGTTAGACGTGTTCATGTTGTCGTCACGCCTCGGGCTTCGTCTAGCTAGCTGGCAGAGACGAGGGTCTGTCGTTACTTTTTTTTTTTAAGCTAGCGGGTTAAGCCTCCCCCCCCCCCCCCCTAAAACAATTAACCCCAGTTTAGCAGGGGGGTCTACTACGGCACCGCTGAATTAGCAAACGCGGATATGTGTTCCAGAAAATAGCCACCGGAAGAAGTAGCCAACCGAACAAGCCCACCTGAAATGAATTGGAGGTCCGAAGCGGCGGTCACACGAGCGGCTTCTTGACTTGAGGTGAAGCGGCGCTACACATCCAGGAAGAGATGGGGTGGAGGAGGAAAGGAGGGTGAGCGGGGCTCGGTCCAATGAACTGAGTCACTTTTTAAACGCGGACTGCGAACCGAACGTTCACAGCTTCACCCCGCGTCAAACTGGGCACTTTTCCCGGTTAACGGCCGGAGCTGCTCCTCACAGCCGAGGAGAATGGAGCCTGTCCGGCTGCTTTACTCCGCCAGCCCAGGCTTCTCTCCTCCTCTGCCCTCACGCGCGCCGCACGTTAATTTCTTCCACGCCCACACACACACGTTCGGGAGCTCGCGCTACGTCATACGTTCCTTTACGTTTTATCACCGCGAGTCAAACAAACAAACAAATAAATAAAGGTTCTCCTATTGACAAGGGCGTCTCCAGCAGAGGCGCGACAACTACCTGCCCAACATGTTGATGGCTATGCATGCGCCATTCTTATGCGGACTGGTAATGGAGGGGTGGAGGAGACACGGTGCTGGGACCGTCCCGCCCAAATCCGGATGGTTGGCGCTGGCAGCGGGTACAGTAAACCTGACTGCGTGTTCAAGGATGACACCGCGCGCGCTTAACGCGTGGACGGGCACGCATCCGGTGCGGAGTCGTACGTCACACAGTGCATGGTGGCTCCGATATAGATTTAAAATAAAATAAAAATGTGTTTATATTATATTGTAATAGTCAAATGCATTATCTGGAAAAAAAAAAGTGCATTATAATTATAAATTGTACAA